GTTTTTTTAATAACGCCTTTTAAGTTATTTTTTTTCAAAACAAGAAGCTCAAGCTTCATGCGAGTGTGAATAAATTTTACTTAACCTAAGAAAATTTGTAGAAGTTTCTATAATTTATTCAAAATTTTTTAAAGCAAATCTGTCCGACTTATTAAAAGCTAAAATAAAGTAAATAAATATACATGTCGGAACTATGAAATGCCGATTTAATATAAAGAAAATGTTTCAACATTTCTTCTTCGGCGCGTGTGGTTATCATATCGAATGTAAATATAAATATAACTAAATAAAAAAGCTAAGCGCTCCAGAAGAGAGCGAAGAGTGAAAGAACGATCAGTTCCGTTTTACAGTTCGTGGCGGTCAAACGTGTTTGCCATATCCACACAATGTCTCATCACTATGGTAATCATTATTCAAGTAAAGAAACAAGGATGGTTACAGCTGTCATAGTTATAATCGGTCTTATTTGCCTTGTCATCCGGTGCTGCTGGAAAATGTGTTGCAACCCCAAAACGGAAGATGAAGAAGGTATGATTTACTTAAAAGACCTTTTTTAGCTTATTTGTGAGATAAGCGAACTTTTACATCTCCAACTATTCTGTGAACTTTAGTCTGATCTGTTAGTTTGCCGGCAACGTGTGTAGTGCAATAATGAATTATCTTTATATTGATCTTTCATCTGTGGATAATTCCAATGAAATTAAGTTTGGAGAAATCATTGTGATAGTGATTTTTATCTTTCTGTTTTTTTTGGGCGCTCTTTGTGTATGCCAAGAATTTTTAAAAAGAAGAAGCAAATTAAAAAGTGGAATTTTCAAACAATGTGAGTGTGAGAGGTATATAATATAGTTCTTAAAATAGAAAAAGTACGCGGGAACTACTGAAGATGAATTTTGGATGTATATTTATTTTTTATGAGAACTTTTTATGGGAATAGGGAACCGAACAACAAGAGATTGGGAAGTATAAGATTTTTATTTCTTTAAAAAAAATAAAAAGATAATTTTTTTGGTGACACGTAGTTTTTTATCAATTTCTGTGGTGTCTTTAGTCAATTAGAAAGTTTAATTAGTACATTATTTAATTGATTTATTATAAATTCTACAAGATACTTATGGTAATATTAACAAGAAAGGAAAGCTAACTTCGGGCGAAGCCGAAGTTGATATACCCTTGCAGAATATTCTGTAAACTATATTCTCCAAAATCGGATCTGTTGGCCAAAAATAAAACCCATAAAAAATCCCAACTTCCTAACTTTAAAAACGCCAAAGTTATGGCATTTCCGACCGTTCAGTTATATGGCAGCTATATGATATAGTTGCCCGATCCGGCTCGTTCCGACTTACATATATACTACCTGCAATAGAAAGACAACTTTTGGGAAAGTTTCTATCAGATAGCTTTAAAACTGAGGGACTAGTTTGCGTAGAAACGGACGGACGGACAGACGGATAGACGAACAGACGAACAGTCGGACGGACATGGCTAGATCGACTCTCCTGGTGATGCTGATCAAGAATATATATAATATAAATCAACACTAAATATGTAAGCCTAAAGCGGGTAAATACTTATTACTTCTAAAAACAAATAATTTTTTAATCTGTGATTCTGTCACTCGTTTCTAGAGTGATATCCGTGTATACCTTGAAATGAATTCTTGGTCTTAAATCGTCTGAGTCTGAGTTCTTCAATGAGTCATACCGTTCTGGGATTATCGCCCACTCATATCCGGGAAAAGCTCAGTATTAATTCATTCTCATTCTCTAAAAGCTTATTGATACATATATTCAAAAGTATGCCTTCATTCAAGTTTTTTTTTTTTTTGTCTAGTAATTGGGTATATTGCATCCCAATTCGACTTATTGTCGTATATGTTTTCTCTGTTGTTATAGAAAACCGAAAGAGATTTATCTTATCAGTTAACCCGTTAAAAAATATATAAATTTAAAGCAAAATAGTCCGGTCTCCGTTGTTTGAATATCTGAACCTTAAAATCATTAGACAAATTTCACTCAACCCTATCGTTAGTCATACCATTTAAAAAATGGTTTAAATCACTTATTTCATTCTTGCTTATTTGCTACATGTAAATAAAGGTAATTCCGGTGGGGAAAAGCAAACCTGATATCAATAACTGCAACAAATATTCTTGGGAACATGATTTTTTTTGATTTAAACAAGCTTTCGATGACGCCATTTAGAGCTTCTGGTGCCGATTTATAAACTCGATCTTGTAAAATGATATTTATACGATTATGGGTATTACCCACTTTATACGATTTGTACTTTCTATCTGCAAAGTCAACTTTATTTATGGGTCAAAAATTCTAGTCATTGTCCACAAAGCATTTGTGATTGTAGGCTGCGTGATTTAAGTTATCAACTAAATTTTCTTAAAAATCGTAATCTCAAGCGTTGTAAAAAAAGGTAACAACAGAAGGAAAGGGCTGAAACTACCTTTAATTAATAACATTTTCTTACAATAAGGTCCATAATACAAAATAGCAAATTTATAAAACTCTTTAAAACAACAACGATTGCATTTGTTATTCAATATCTTGAGTTGTAATACTTCTATTACTTAATGACTTCTATGGTGAAATAGTCCGGATGACTGCTATCTTGGTGATTTAGATTTAGGACTTGTTATGAAGTGGGAAATGACTGGTTGGTTTTTATTATATTTGTGAAATGTATACTGATTAAACTTACTGTGATTCTAATTTGTGATAAAACTGTTCATTAATTGTTAAATGCAATTCAATAAGTAGATAGTAGTGGCTAATGGCCACATTAAGGGTTTACGTGGTGACGTAAATTCTGAATTGCTGGGTCATCTAGAAAATGATTACCGAACCCATTTAGTTGGGTTCCAGGCTTTCAGCATGAATGCCACTATTCTCGATGTGCTCGAGGATATATTTCAGCGTCTTCATTTAAACTGGATGTTTTTGGCATTCGAAGCGGGAATCCTGACAGTTTTGGTTGCCTTGGTTGTGTTATATGCATTAGCACTTGCCCGTGACTTGGACGATTTTCACTTTTTAAACCATTAGTAAAAATATTCCCGGTATGAATAACGAGGGCCAGGTGATCGGTTATCTGCTGGAATCTCAGGGAAACTATATAGTCTACATAACCATAGCCTGCAAAATATTCATCTTGGTATTGATCGGCTTGTTTGCAATATATTGGAAGCGTCGCCAGGGTCTCGGCGATTTAGGTAAGTTATGATAATCGTTGAAAGTGCTGTTATCTCTGATAAGTGCTATCTTTATGAGTGCGATTGCCCTTTTCTTTGGCCATTACTTGCACATTTTTCGATTGCCAATCCGGCAGCTTTAGTTCTTCGCTCTTGTTTAGTCTTTGTGCACCTGTTATTCAGTCAATATCAAAATCATGGATGATTCGGGCATCTACTGGATACTCTTTTTTACCTTCTCCGTATTTTTTATGACATCCGCGGCGGTGTTTTTGACCCGTGGTCGAACACAAAGAGCAGCATTAACGAAGGGTGCAGGTGTGTTTGCGGGGAATTACCCTCTAATATCGATAACACTGCCAATGGTTTTCGAGAAGTTGTTAACAAAAATGCCAAAATATCTTAATCAGTCGAAATCGTGAACCCATTGGCGAAGCATCTGTTAATTTGAAATTCAAAAATATTCGCAATGGCGGTGATTCTTATTCTCATCATAGCGTTTTCAATCGTTGTGGCGGTTACATTTTTAATGTGCCTAGGTTACTATTACATGGTCGAAAATCACAAATCCACGGGTAAATAACTGAATTCATGGATGATTCGGGCATCTACTGGATACTCTTTTTCACCTTTTCCGTATTCTTTATTACATCCGCGGCGGTGTTTTTAACCCGTGGTCGAACACAGAGAGCAGCACTAACGAAGGGTGTAGGTGTGTTTGCGGGGAATTACCCTCTAATATCGATAACACTGCCAATGGTTTTCGAAAAGTTGTTGTTAACAAAAAAGCCTAAATATCATAATCAGTCGAAATCGTGAACTCATTGGCGAAGCAGCTGTCAAATTGAAATACAAATATATTCGTGATGGAGGCGTTTCTTATTCCCATCATAGGGTTCTCAATCTTTGTGGCGATTTCATTTTTAATGTGCCTATGTTTCTTTTACGTAGTCAAAAAGTACAAAACCACGGGTAAATAATTGACTTCAAGAAAAGTGTTTTTGTGTAATGTAACTTCGAAGCTGTAGTGCATTGCAAATACTAGTGACAAACAAACCAGAATGAGAGTACGGAAAAAATGTGTGTATTTGGCTATGTCACCAACCGCTTATCGACTTGGCCATATAATCGGCCATTGATTAGACATGGGCCGAATGAGTGGTTCAGTCAGATGAGAGCTTTTCAGTCTGTTTCGTGTTCGTCTGAAAGGCGTTTGTGTTTCTAAAGCTAATTCAATCGTATTTCAAAAAATGTTGGGATTCTGGATAGCGCTATCCATAGCATTTACCATATTTATCGTAACCTCAATTGTGGTTTGCATAAGGCGCAGGCAGAAGGCAGCGCGAAATGTTGGCTACACAATCAGCGAAGGCCGTGGTAATTACATCGACTGAATAAAGAAAAGATTGGCAAAAAGACTGCACTTAAAAAAAAACGAATACTCGCATGCCATTTGTTCCTATTTATTTGCTGAAAGAATGGCATATCAGGAATCTTGAATCTTGTTATTAACTGTTATAATTCATAGCACAAACTCTAAAAAACATGTAGTGGTTAAGCACTTGTAGGACAAAAACCAGGAAACATTAAATAAAGATATTGATTTTTATTGTTTTGAGTGCAAAAAGGTATTGAATGGGGAATTTTTTTTTCATATTGATGAGTTTAATCAAAAAGTTGGAGCTTATCGGATCTGCGACTCGAGTGGTGGTCGGCAGTGGGACGATGACTCAGAATTATTGCGCCAGCTCTTCCGTTTCTAATATTCCTTTTCTGTTTTTGCTCTTTGCAGCGCCCGTGGTGGTGACCTCCGCCACGCACACGGCCCCCGGCGGATATCCGGTCACACAGCTGCCTCCGCCGGGCTATCCGGCGGGCAATGTCTACGTAGCTCCCGCTTCGTATCCCGCTCAGACCACCGGGTAAGTTGGGATTAAAATTGGCATGGAAACTATTGCTTCATCTCCTTTTTCCACGCAGCAATGTGACCGTACAGATGCCCATGCCGATGCCCCAACAGCAACAGTACCAGCAGATGCCGATGCCCGGGTAAGTTGCCTTTAAAGCTGAAACCAATTGCAAATATTAATTGATATCCTTCACACAGCATGCAAACGCACGGCGTGGCCTATCCTCCGTATCCTGGCGCCGGGGCTGCCAACATGAACCCCCCGTCGTATGACTTAGCCATGGCCAATCCGGGTCCCAGTGTCATGCCCTCCGGCTATGAGAAGCAGGCGCCATACAATCCCAACTTTGGCCAGTGATTGCCAACTGTGAACTGAATGATTAACTAAATTTGAGTCTTCTTTTCCGTGTCGATATAGCTTTTATACTTTGCTGGATATATTAGATTCTTTACCTCGTCAAAACATGTATTTCCAAAATGAACTCAAAATTAGTCAACGATTCATTTCCCAGCGGCCGGTGGAAAACGAAAGTGAAAGCGAATGCACAACGAGCCATTTTTATATTCCTTGTGATGTTTGTAAATGTACATATAACTTAAGTGCAACCTAACTTTAATTTATACATCTACATTAAGAAACTCCAAAAACAAAACCAAACTGAACTACATGAAGTGTTAAATGTAATAAACAAGTGAAGTGCACATCAAATACACCTGAAGCATGTTTGTTTCGATGTGCACTTACGCACAAAAACCAGAAATGACTACATGTTTTCAATTATTTTATCCAATCCAGTGTTGTTGCCAATGAAAGGGCTGTGCTTAAATGTGTTTCTAAAGATTACTGGTGGTTTTATGTTGGCAATATTGCAATCAATATTTTGCATGTATCATTTTTGATATGTAATTTGTTGGGATTATGGTTTTTTTATTAGCTTAGTTCAGCTTTAGTTAAATCAATTGTTCGTCCTGGAGTGTATAATTGCGCTTTTGATTATTAATCTAATTGGTATATTTATTTATGAATTCGAAATTAAAATTTGAAAGTATAAACTTTACTGTGAAAATCAATAGCCAATGTAGAAAATAAAACAGAGCATTTGTCATGCTGTTTTTGAGCAGTTCAAATGGATTTTGCACCGTTTTAGTGAATGCGTTTTCCCCATTATAATTTTTAGTTTTACTATTCCAACTGCCACCAGATGTTGTTCCTTCTTCCACCCTTTTTAATAGTCCTTTTCAGCCGGGGAGCGGTATCCATGGATTACTGCGACAAGGATCTGTGCCTGCCTCAGATAACGCATATTGCATGTCGAAATTATGGGGTGAGTCTGGAGTCTTATACTATATCCATAGTAATTGCCTACATTTTCCAGGATTTTGATGAAAGTTGTGGGAGTGGAGCCGTCATTATGCAGTTCCCTATGAATCTGAGAGCCCAGTTGTTGAACGTTTTGAATGATTTCCGTAATACAGTGGCATTGGGAAAGCATTCGTCCTTTCGTCCGGCTGCCCGGATGGCGACCCTCCGGTGGCACAAGGAGCTGGCCGGATTGGCCAAGTTTGCCTTGAGGCGCTGTGAGAATATGGATGATTTCTGCAGCAATACGCATGAGTTCAAGTACGTGTCCTATATCTACGGCAGTAGCAGGTGGCTGCACCGGGAGAAGACCCCCAGATCCATCGTGGAATTTGTGTTGAAATATTGGATGGATGATATGAAGGCCTGCACTATGGCGCACATCAATGCCGAGAGACCGCCCAAAGATGGGTGAGATTTGTGGTTTCAAGTTGAATATGGTTACTCAAACTTTGATTTTAGACAATGTCGTGGTTACTTCACCCAGTTGGTTCAAGATCTGGCCGCCCACGTCGGCTGTGCCATGATGATGCGACGGAGCCACAGCGACGGACTGTATCAGTACGGACTCTTGTGCCAGTTTTCCCGCGGAAAGATCGCCAATGAGCTGGTCTACCGGGAGAGTTCGCATCCGGGAAGTCGATGCTATGCGGGAACACACTCCACCTATCAGGGTCTCTGTTCGCCCGAGGAGCATGTCAATCCCAATGCTCTGCAATTAGGCGCCCTCAATTAAATTAGTCACGTCGCGGCTAATAAATGTAGGAGTTAAGATAGCTTTAGACTTGAGTTGAATTTTAATTGCTACGCTGGCTAGTCGAGATGCAGATGTGGTATCTGCAACTGTTTTTGGCAGCACAGTTGGCCCTGTCCTCAGGGAATGAGACCCTGTGCAGACCCGATCTCTGCATGAATTCGGAGGTCCATGTGGGCTGCTTTCAGCACAAGGTAGGAGCTGTAAATCTTGCACTTTGGACGCACTTAACCAAGGACGTTACAGGTATTAGCCAATAAATGTGGGCAAGGCAACTTAGTTTTGCACGTAAACGGAGCCCTGAAGCTCGGCATTCTGGACAGGATCAACACATTGCGCAACTTTGTGGCCAGTGGAGCGGGTAACTACGTCGTGGCCGCTCGCATGCCGACGATGGGCTGGGATTACAGTCTGCAGAGATTGGCCGATAACCAGATTCGTCAGTGCAACGAGAAGGGCAAATACTGCGCCAACACCGAGAGTTTTCACTATGTGGCCACCACCGAGATCCGGAGCACGATGAGCCGGCATAGCAACTTGGAGCGAAAGATCCTGGATAAACTGCTACCAGAAATGTTCCTGGATGTCAGAATACTGCCCAGCAAAGATGGGTAAGTGACTAGATGGAGCTATTAATATGTTAGGACTAAATATATGAGAATAATAATCTTGGCTTTCCATTTATATTAATAGTAAATAAATGTGATATTTTGCTAAATTAAATTCCCAGATAAAGCTACTTTTATGGTCCTTCTCAATATATTTAAATAGACAAGTTCAAATCACTTGTAAGCCTTTTTAAGCTGAAAGGATTGCCTTTTATACTTATATTATTATTATTATTTTCATTTTTAAGAATTTTAAAGATCAATAACCATTTCTTAGAAGTTTATATATTAATAATAAATACATCGAGTTAAGATCGTTCAAAGTAAATTTAAATTGATAACCATCGTTCGCTTCCATTTCAGCAACTGCGTGGGCCACTATATACCTCTGATCCAGGACCGCGGTGACCGGATGGGCTGCGCCATTCGCCTGAAGAACAGATCCAAGACCGAGGCCAATGTGATCCTGCTCTGCCACTTCTCGCGTGCCAGCGTTAACGAACAAACGCCGTACGAATTCGGTATCTATCCCGGCGAGAAGTGCATCACCGGATCGAGCCAGCTGTACGAGTACCTGTGCAACGAGGCGGAGAAGGTGGATGCCAACAGCATGCAATTGGACACCAAAATGCCGCTTAGCTCTATAAATGAAAAAGGCGACAGTTCAGTTGAGACTAACATGGAGCTTCAATAAAGCTACGAAAGTGTGTCTAATGGTGGCCATGTCCAATTGGCTAATTGGTTTGGGGGTCAGTGAGTGGGTGCCATTGATAGCTCCGCTTGGTCGCTAATCGATTTGCCTGCGAACTCTATAAGAGGTAGCCTCAGGTGGCCGGAGCTGGCTAAACTGGCTGCCTCGTCGAGATGTTGGACACCATGTGGCCGCCGCTGTTGCTGCTCCTGATGCTCCTGGGCCAGCAGCTGCAGGCCTTCGACTACTGCGATCCGACCTTGTGTCCCGGTCCCGAGAGGCACATAGCCTGCAACAATTTCGGGGTAAGATCGGTGAGCTGTCAATATCTAGTGGTCATCCCCTGATGACTGATCCTTGCAGGAGCTGGGCGACACCTGCAGTCCGGATGCCCATGTGGTGCGGATCACAACGGCCCGCCGCACCATGATCCTCAACGAGCTGAACGAGTACCGCGACCGGATTGCGAGGGGCGATCTTCTGGGCTTCAGTCCGGCCACCCGGATGGCCACCTTGCAGTGGGACCAGGAGCTGGCCAGTTTCGCCGAGCTCAATGTGAAGCGGTGTGCCCTGGTCAACGATCATTGTCGGAATAGCGAGCAGTTCCGGAATGTGGCCCAAGTGGTGGCCGAGGGCGGTTGGCAGGGAGATCCAATGACGCCCAGCTATCCAAATGGTGGTGGCCCCAATCCGGAACCCAACACCCCCGTGGAATATCACACCGAGGATGAGGTGATCAAGGCCACGCTGGAGCAGATGTTCGCCGAGTACAAGGAGTGCAGCATGCGGGACATCATCGCCTTCAGTCCGCCCAGCAACAGGTAGGTGGGGCTTCACCCCTCTTCTCATAGGAAGCACCTGACCACCTCACCTGACCACTGACCAGAATCCTCCGCTTGCGCGTCAGCAAGTGCATTGCCTACTTCACACAGCTCGTCCGGGATAGCACCACCCATGTGGGCTGCGGCATCCTCCGGCAGACGAAGAACACCACCAACGAGGCGGGCCAGTGGCTGCCCAGTGTCCACCAGTACATGACCTGCAACTTTGTCCGGGCGGTCGATGTGAATGCCCCGGTCTACCAGAGCGGCGACCGTTCGGCCACCGAATGCCGCAGCGGACGCAATCCGGTCTTCATCAACCTGTGCTCCGTCAACGAGATCTACGACTCCTCCAACCTGCCGGTCCTCTTCTGAAGTGGCAAATCCTGCAATTCCACAGCCAATTACTAATATTAATAAAAAGGAAAGGATTCAAATGAAACTGGGATTCTCTTAGGCTGGGGGTACATAATGGGGGCACTCGAATAATGGCAATAACCAATAATTGGAAAAGCTGTAGGGAAAATACAAAAAGAAACTTTTCCTTACACTTGCACTTTGGCAAAGAGTCGGTACTTTATAGACATCAGACTAACATTCAAGTCCCTAGAAACATCTTATTCTGCAAACTTTGTCTGAAACCTGTCCATTTAAAAGTCTTTAAACAGTTTTTTTCTGAAAACGAAATTGAAGCAAAACAGTTGAAAACCAAACCCAAATTTTAGTATTTAAATAAGTAACTGTTAAGGCGCAAGAGGAATAAACCTAAAGCGTATATTATTTAAATCATTTGATTATTTGCCTAAATAGCTGAATCCCGAAAATTAAAAAGTTTATCTAAAACTCAAAAGAAAAAAATCTAAATTATTTGTAATGTATATATATTAAAAAGAATGCATAACAATGTTAAAATTAATAACTAAGTTACCGAGCACTTGCAGCGGTGGTCTTTGTTTTATACATTATTTAAAATAAATAGGTTTAGGAGAATCCACATTTTCATTGATTCTCTTTTCCATTTAAATGCTGTGATAAATGGCGTTTTTTTAGTTAATTAAATTTTTGTTAAAATTTTAATAAAACCGCCAGAGTTAAATTTGTTAGCATAATGCCATTAGCCAAGCAGATTTAATTAAAAATATTTTGATGTTAAACTAATAACGAGCGAATACGTTAGTAAAATAATAGCATTTGCCAACAAAAATATTATAAAGAAGAAAGGACAAATTTAAATACAGATTTTTTCAGGTACGCTTTGAAATGGAATCTAGAAGTCCAATTTTGGGACCCCTTTTTTGAAGTTATCGAAAACTTGGTAATAACTAACATGAAAATTGGTCAAAATTTTGACCAACGTCAAAATGAAAATTTTGAATGCAGTTTTTTAGAGAATTAAAATAAAATTCTTAAGAGGTATGCCACTTTGAAATCGGATTAAATTTGGTAAAGTTTTTGAATCTAGAAGTCCAATTTTGGGACCCCATTTTTGAAGACATCGAAAACTAACTAACATGAAAATGGATCAAAATTTTCACCAACGTTAAAATGAAAATTTTGAATGCAGTTTTTTAGAAAATTAAAATAAAATTCTTAAGAGATATGCCACTTTGAAATCGGATTAAATTTGGTAAAGTTATGAAATCTAGAAGTCCAATTTTGGGACCCTTTTTTTGAAGTCATCGAAAACTAAGTAATAACTAACATGAAAATGGGTCAAAATTTTGACCAACGTCAAAATGAAAATTTTGAATGCAGTTTTTTAGAGAATTAAAATAAAATTCTTTAGAGGTATGCCACTTTGAAATCGGATTAAATTTGGTAAGGTTATGGAATCTGGAAGTCCAATTTTGGGACCCTTTTTTTGAAGTCATCGAAAACGTAGTAATAACTAACATGAAAATTGGTCAAAATTTTGACCAACGTCAAAATGAAAATTTTGAATGCAGTTTTTTAGAGAATTAAAATAAAATTCTTTAGAGGTATGACACTTTGAAATTGGATTAAATTTGGTAAAGTTATGGAATCTGGAAGTCTAATTTTGGGACCCTTTTTTTGAAGTCATCGAAAACTAAGTAATAACTAACATGAAAATGGGTCAAAATTTTGACCAACGTTAAAATGAAAATTTTGAATGCAGTTTTCTAGAGAATTAAAATAAAATTCTTTAGATGTATGCCACTTTGAAATCGGATTAAATTTGGTAAAGTTATGGAATCTGGAAGTCCAATTTTGGGACCCTTTTTTTGAAGTCATCGAAAACGTAGTAATAACTAACATGAAAATGGGTCAAAATTTTGACCAACGTTAAAATGAAAATTTTGAATGCAGTTTTTTAGAGAATTAAAATAAAATTCTTAAGAGGTATGCCACTTTGGAATCGGATTAAATTTGGTAAAGTTGTTGAATCTAGAAGTCCAATTTTGGGACCCCATTTTTGAAGACATCGAAAACTTGGTATTAACTAACGAGAAAATGGGTCAAAATTTTGAGCAACGTTAAATGAAAATTTTGAATGCAGTTTTTTAGAGAATTAAAATAAAATTCTTAAGAGGTATGCCACTTTGAAATCGGATTAAATTTGGTAAAGTTATGGAATCTGGAAGTCCAATTTTAGGACCCTTTTTTTGAAGTCATCGAAAACTAAGTAATAACTAACATGAAAATGAGTCAAAATTTTGACCAACTTTAAAATGAAAATTTTGAATGCAGTTTTTTAGAGAATTAAAATAAAATTCTTAAGAGGTATGCCACTTTGAAATCGGATTAAATTTGGTAAAGTTGTTGAATCTAGAAGTCCAATTTTGGGACCCTTTTTTTGAAGTCATCGAAAACGTAGTAATAACTAACATGAAAATGGGTCAAAATTTTGACCAACGTCAAAATGAAAATTTTGAATGCAGTTTTTTAGAGAATTAAAATAAAATTCTTTAGAGGTATGCCCTTTTGAAGTCGGATTAAATTTGGTAAAGTTATGGAATCTGGAAGTCCAATTTTAGGACCCTTTTTTTGAAGTCATCGAAAACTAAGTAATAACTAACATGAAAATGGGTCAAAATTTTGACCAACGTTAAAATGAAAATTTTGAATGCAGTTTTTTAGAGAATTAAAATAAAATTCTTTAGAGGTATGCCACTTTGGAATCGGATTAAATTTGGTAAAGTTATGGAATCTGGAAGTCCAATTTTGGGACCCTTTTTTTGAAGTCATCGAAAACTAAGTAATAACAAACATGAAAATGGGTCAAAATTTTGACCAACGTCAAAATGAAAATTTTGAATGCAGTTTTTTAGAGAATTAAAATAAAATTCTTAAGAGGTATGCCACTTTGAAATCGGATAAAATTTGGTAAAGTGTTTGAATCTAGAAGTCCAATTTTGGGACCCTTTTTTTGAAGTCATCGAAAACGTAGTAATAACTAACATGAAAATGGGTCAAAATTTTGACCAACGTTAAAATGAAAATTTTGAATGCAGTTTTTTAGAGAATTAAAATAAAATTCTTAAGAGGTATGCCACTTTGAAATCGGATTAAATTTGGTAAAGTTATGGAATCTGGAAGTCCAATTTTAGGACCCTTTTTTTGAAGTCATCGAAAACTAAGTAATAACTAACATGAAAATGGGTAAAAATTTTGACAAACGTTAAAATGAAAATTTTGAATGCAGTTTTTTAGAGAATTAAAATAAAATTCTTAAGAGGTATGCCACTTTGAAATCGGATTAAATTTGGTAAAGTTATGGAATCTGGAAGTCCAATTTTGGAACCCTTTTTTTGAAGTCATCGAAAACGTAGTAATAACTAACATGAAAATGGGTCAAAATTTTGACCAACGTTAAAATGAAAATTTTGAATGCAGTTTTTTAGAGAATTAAAATAAAATTCTTAAGAGGTATGCCACTTTGAAATCGGATTAAATTTGGTAAAGTTATGGAATCTGGAAGTCCAATTTTGGGACCCTTTTTTGAAGTCATCGAAAACTTGGTAATAACTAACATGAAAATGTGTCAAAATTTTGACCAACGTTAAAATGAAAATTTTGAATGCAGTTTTTTAGAGAATTAAAATAAAATTCTTAAGAGGTATGCCACTTTGCAATCAGATAAAATTTGGTAAAGTTATGGACTATTTTAGTGCAATTGTGTGACACTTTTTTACAGGGCATTGAAAACTTAGAAATAAATAGCATGAATATGACAAATTCAATAAAAGGAAACTTCGAAGTCGAAGTTTATACAAATATTCTATATTTCAATTTCGATGCGTATAATACCCTCTGCAAGGGTATAAAAGAAGATATACCTCTTCTTTTAAAAAAGTATCAATGCATGGTTAGGGATATCATTTTGTAGCACCATATTTTTGCAAAGTAGCTTCACTTAAAGGTGAATTATGGGTATTATGTTTTTCGCCTTGCGGTTTCCTCTTAATATTATTTGCTTTGCAACAAAGAATCAAAGTTGAGCCAGTAGAATTGCGCTTTAATGCCATCACCATTATTATAATGAAGCTGATTCGCCGCCGCTGTTCACCTGCAGAGTGGCAGTCAAATTGAAATGTGTTTTCCCCGCTCCTTTCGGCACCTGCCTGCCGGGTGTGCATCCTGCATCCTGGATCCTGCAGAATCGCTGTTTTCGCACCTAGGCGACTGCCAGTCAAAGTCAGCGAAAGCAAAAAAGTTCGTTGACAACTTCAGCAAACAAATTTTTTTATCGCGCACTTGCCACACCTCTTCGTTTTATTTTTTTGTATTTGATTTCAGTTTTGTACAATTTTTTTCGGTGGTAGAGGATGTGAAAAAATGGCCAACGCAGCGTGAAATACGCGGCAACCGCAAATGGTGCGCAAAAAAAAGCCATTGCGAATATTTCTATCTAAATACGAAAAACTATTTTCTTTTGATATAATGATTTATTCAATTGTAAAAAGTGCTCGATTGTATTCCGAGTTAATAGTAAAAGAGAGAGCCGTGCGAGCTTGTGCATATGTCGTGTTTAAGCTATTTAATAAAATATTTCAATTTGCTCCCATGTTCGTTCATCCATAAACTCGCTTGAGGACCGTAAAAAACGTATAGGTTGTGTTGAGCAGATTCTGAAAAAGCTCCAAGGTGATGGGGCGAATGTTGCCCAAAAGTATCTGAAAATTTAAATTGATAAGATAGTATTTAATGTATATAATTAGAGTTTGATCTCAAAAATTGGTTTTGTTTTTAAGAAGGAGCTAGCAATGTTCGAAGCAATAAACAGGTCTAAAAAAATACTTTTGGGCTAATAGGGTATTGCTTGTATTTTTTAATTGCCCAATTTAACTGAGAAATTAAATAAGAAATATGTATATTTATTCTAACTTGACGAACAGAAATGCTTATTTCTGACTAAATTGTTGTACTTTAAATGCTTGCGAAAGTTTCAACAGGGTTTTAAGGTTTTTTTTGGTAAATTAAGTATTTATAAATTAAGTATTTATAAATAAGACCTTATGTGTTTGTATACATCACTCACCGAAGCTGGTCGTTGGGCCCTCATCATCATGAAAATAATGTTTTTGCGCAGGGGAACCTCGAAGGTGTACCACTCAGTATCATAGGCTGCGGTGGCCACTGCCAGGTTCTGTTCCCTCAGCTCATTTGCATACCAGTAGAGGGCCAGTATTTGGGCCAGAATCATGTTTATGTACATGCAAACAATTATCAGCTGACTAGTGCCGCTCACCTAGGAAAATTGGTAATGTATGAGCCCCACATATTGTTACCTTTGTGAATATACTAACAATAAGCAGCATAAACAGCAGTGCACAGAGTAGGGCTGAAAAGGCCATCAGCTCGAAGAGGAATATCATCGTGGTCAATTCATTGATGTGATCCATATAATCGATAATGCTCTGCTGATAGCGAATGCAGGCGAAAATCTCTTCCTTCAGTTTCCGGGAATCTCGGTCTCCATACGGATACATTATGGCCACCTGACGGAGGCGATGCTGCAGAGCCTTGCACCGCACAATCCCAAACATAATCAAGCCCACAATTAGACTCGTGTACGGTATGTACATGCAACATCCCATCGGGGTAATGAGCATGTGAAAGACGTACCACAACTCGTAGTACGGGGTCTCGTACTCATTTAGCCCTGGAATTCTACTGCCAAAGGGAAGGACTTTGCAGAAGAAGAGAATATTTAAGAAAAATTTACGATAATATCAGAAAAACATTGTGTAAATTTTGGAAGAGGTTATTGAAAAGGTTTATAAAGAACTTTATTTCAAGTTTGACTGTTATATTAATTTGTTGTCAAGTCAGATACTAATTTCAATAAATAAAAAATGAACACTTCAATACAAAAATTATAAAAGAAAGCTTTTATAAAACCATGCTGTGTAAATTTTCCCATAAAAAGTTTTTTTTCATGTTTTTTTGTGCGATTATCTATACAAACAATATTATATTATATTATACAAATAATAATATGTAATGTTTTAAATTTAATGCTTATGTATATCGATTAACGACGTACTCACCTCTTTCGCTGGAGGCTAAGGGATAGAGGCCGAAACCCAAGGAGGTAAGCATTCCAAAGAAGAGATTACCCCTGGCCATCAACTGACCCACTCGATTCACCTTAGTCAACAATCGGGTTATATAAGTGTCGTTCAGATTTAATAAATCGTAATAGGCCTCTTTTAGATTCTGGATTAAAGCCACATATCTGTCGTGATCAGCCAGCAAAAGATAGGCACGCAGCATCGTGTTTATCCAAAGGACGAGCATATAGGAGTTTCGGATTATCCCAATGAGTCCTTCATTGGTGCTCATCATGTAGAACATTTGGGTGAAGATGTGGAACGAAGCCAGACCGATGCAAATATAGCATTTTATATTCTTTTCATATAGCAGAGCCCAGAAGCGCAGTATCCTAATGTTCATGTAGATCAACTGAATATCCTCGAACATGACTAATAACTTGTGTAAGGTTTTTAATCCAAATCTGAGCTTTCCTTCTTGTGCCTGAACCTTTTATAGACTTTTTGAGGGGGGAACTAATTGGTTGGTTTACTTTTGAAAGGGTATAATAAGCCATAACAAAGGTAAAGAAATATAATACCAATATACAATTTAATCTTCAGACCTTAATTTTCTTTCTTTCTCAATTTATTTATTTTTAAAACAAATTTTAATTTATTTTTATTAACATTGTTGTATATCCTCTGGCTAAAATAACACTAATAAGCGAATTTGCATTTGCAGCTGAAATTTATGAGTGTAATTAATCACTATTCATTTAAGTTTATTTAATGTTATAGTATTAATGTTATTATATTAAGGCAAAGGTGTATTTTTCAGGGTATTGAAAACAAGGTTTTGTTTCTCGATTTAGTTTTTATTGAAGCGTCTGGCACGGACTCCCAGCTGGACTCGTTGAGTTGCAATTTCTGCCTAAATTGCCGATGATTTTGCAATATTTTTGCCATTGAATTGTAGAATTTATTCGCTGCATTTGATTTTCCACATATTGATTTCTTTTTGAATTATGAGCAGAGGAACACAAACCAACTGTACGTGTGTTATACCAGCTTATAGCACTTTCATTTATTTTTCATTAAACAAATTTGGTAGCCATTTTCGATTGGCAATTTGTCTAATGTGTTTCTCTGATAATTTAACTGCACTTTAGCTGTACATTAAATAAAGATAGTCTAATTAGCATATAAACTATATTTTATTTACAGATAGATAAGGCTTATCGATTAAAGATAGTAGTACAAAAAAACTGTCAGTAAGTGATCGCTTGGTAATAAAATGGGAACAGCTTTGGAAAAAAGCTTTATGTAGCTTTTTGCGAGGGCTATATTCTCTATTAAATCAGTCTTTTTCCAGCTCTCGACTTCTGCGGTTCAATTGGAAATTAAATTAAGCGAATATATGACATCATGGATCAGTGGATGATAGTGGTCGCATTGTTTTCAATTCTATTCGTTTTGTTTTATAAGTGGTCGGTGGCTAAATATGAAATATTCAGTGAAAGGGGCGTGGCACATGAAAAACCATGGCCTCTAATCGGTAATATACCCATCAAAGCCATGTTTGGTCGAGTTCCGGTGCTTAAACATATGATCGAGCTCAATTTAAAGTATACGGGATCGCCGGTATATGGGATTTATGCTCTAAGAGATCCCATGTTCTTCATTAGAGACCCCGAGCTTATCAAACTAATTGGTATCAAGGAATTTGACCACTTTGTCAACCATCATAGCATGCACAATAATATGCAGGAATCGATTCTCTCGAAGAGCCTTATTTCCCTGCGAGATGGTCGCTGGCGGGAGATGCGTAATATCCTGACACCCGCCTTCACAGGCAGCAAAATGCGGATAATGTTCGACCTGATCAAGTCTTGCAGCGAGGAGGGGGTCGTGCACATCCGGGAGCAGGTGGAGAGTACGAGGGACGCGGGCATCGACCTGGAAATGAAGGATTACTTCACGCGATTCGCCAACGATGTAATAGCAACCGTGGCTTTCGGACTCAGCATCAACTCGTTCAGGCGCAAAGATAACGAGTTCTTTCGGATCGGACAGTCCTTGTCCAAGATTAGCGCCTGGTCGGTGGTCAAGGCCATGCTGCACGCCCTTTTCCCACGGCTAATGAAGGTACCTATTGTTAAGACGTCACGGAAATGTCAATAGGCATTCGGTATTTGCCTATTGTTTCCTTATCGATTTTCTACTAGACCTAGCTGGGTGTTTCAACCCAAGAATATAGGCACACACAATAGTAACTCTTTAAAAGGGGAATTCATATTGCTTATTTTTTGTTTTATTTAAAGATTTAGTTTAGTTTTTTTCTCAGCATCAGCTAATTATAGTCTGCCAAAAGTATTTATTAAGATTAAATCAGTTTAAATTATGAACTTAAAGATACGGGTAATTCGAGGGATCTAACATCATAATCGTATTTCAAATAAGCAAAATTGATTTTAAATGATTACATTTTTTCTTGTAAATGTTGTACCCAATTAACTCTCTTGTAAATATTTGAATATTTATTAATTTTTATACCCTTGCAGAGGGTATTATAATTTTGGTCAAAAGTGTGCAACGCAGTGAAGGAGACATCTCCGACCCTATAAAGTATATATATTCTTGATCAGGATCACCTCCTGAGTTGATATAGCCATGTCCGTCTGTCCGTCTGTCCGTCTGTCCGTCTGTCTGTTTCTACGCAAACTAGTCTCTCAGTTTTAAAGCTATCGGATTGAAACTTTGCACACACCCTTCTTTCCTTTGCACGCAGTATATAAGTCGGAACGGCCGGGATCGGCCGACTATATCCTATAGCTGCCATATAACTGATTGATCGGAAATGCCATAACTTTCGTGTTTGTAAAGTTAGGAAGTTGGGATTTTCTATGGGTTTTATATTTGGCCAATCAATCCGACCTACCAAATTTCATAAGGATCGGCCGACTATATCCTATAGCTGCCATATAACTGATTGATCGGAAATGCCATAACTTTGGTGTTTGTAAAGTTAGAAAGTTGGGATTTTCTATGGGTTTTATATTTGGCCAATCAATCCGACCTACCAAATTTCATAAGGATCGGCCGACTATATCCTATAGCTGCCATATAACTGATTGATCGGAAATGCCATAACTTTGGTGTTTGTAAAGTTAGAAAGTTGGGATTTTCTATGGGTTTTATATTTGGCCAATCAATCCGACCCACCAAATTTCATAAGGATCGGCTGACTATATCCTATAGCTGCCATATAACTGATTGATCGGAAATGCCATAACTTTGGTGTTTGTTAAGTTAGGAAGTTGGGATTTTCTATGGATTTTATTTTTGGCCAATCAATCCGACCTACCAAATTTCATAAGGATCGGCCGACTATATCCTATAGCTGCCATATAACTGATTGATCGGAAATGCCATAACTTTGGTGTTTGTAAAGTTAGGAAGTTGGGAATTTCTATGGATTTTATTTTTGGCCAATCAATCCGACCTACCAAATTTCATAAGGATCGGCCGACTATATCCTATAGCTGCCATATAACTGAACGATTGGAAATGCCATAACTTTGTTGTTCTTAAAGTTAGGAAGTTCGGATTTTTTATGAGTATTAAGAATGCATCATATGAATAATTTTGGAGAATATAATTTACAGAGTATTCTGCAAGGGTATATCAACTTCGGCTCCGCCCGAAGTTAGCTTTCCTTTCTTGTTTTTTTGTAAAGTTGCAATCCTAAACTCTATACCTAATTTTATGACAACTCAGATCGCCTTTCAGGCTATTCCTTTCTAACATTTTTTTTGTTATCTTCAGTTACTTCGCATCCAGGTGTTGGACTCCACGTACGTTGATTACTTCAGCAGTCTGGTCAATGTAACGATGAAGTACAGACAGGAGCACAAAGTGATCAGACCAGACATGATCCACCTGCTGATGGAAGCCAAGCAGCAGAAGCTGGCCGATCTGCAGGATCAGTCGAAGGATGCTCGATACTATGCCGAATTCACCGACGAGGACCTGTTGGCCCAGTGCCTGTTGTTCTTTTTCGCTGGTTTCGAGATAATCTCCTCATCCTTGTGTTTCCTCACCCATGAGCTTTGTCTGAATTCCGAGGTGCAGGACAGGCTCTTTGAGGAGATCCTATCCGTTCACCAGGAGCTCAATGGTCAACCCTTGAACTATGACAAGCTGACCAAGATGAAGTACCTGGACATGGTGGTACTAGAGGGTCTGCGTAAGTGGCCACCAGCTATTTCCACAGATCGGGAATGCTGCTCGGATATCGAATTGTGCGATGAGAATGGTCAAAAGTTATTCTCCGCCCGAAAAGGTGATGTCCTGCAGATACCCATTTTTGCTCTGCACCACGATCCTGCGAACTTTGAGGATCCGGAGTCCTTCAACCCAGAGCGTTTTGCAGAGGATCGCAGGGTTGAGCGAAGTGTTTTCCTGCCCTTTGGAGTGGGTCCTCGCAATTGCATTGGCAATCGACTCGCGCTCATGGAGATCAAGTGTATTGTCTATCAATTGGTGTTGAACTTCAGTTTAATCCCGGCCGAAAAGACAACCCACAACTTGCTGGACGACATCAGAGGACATGGCCTTAAGCCCAAGGATGGCTTTTGGCTGAAGTTCAAGCCACGTCAGTAAAATGGCATATATCTTAGCCAACTAATCGCCTGCGGTTTTGCAATTAAAGCTCGAATGCAGCGCACAGAAATTTCCATTAATCAACTGATGGGAGGGTGGATGGATTTATTTAATTAATTTCAGGGGAGTGCACCGCAAATGTCTTAAGTTAATCGAGAGGGAATCGGAAAAATATGGTGAAGAAGTGCTGGTGACAGGCACCGCCCTGGAAAATCCCGCTCGCTGGTTGTCCGGTCCACTTGACGCCGGAAAAACAAAAACTCCGGACTGTGAGCAGCTGAGGGGCCAAAAGTTTTTGACATTCTCGTTATTTATGTGCTTTGAGGGTATTTAGGTAAAAGTTTTTCGGCCCGCCTGAGCAGTTAATACGATATTGATTTATTCGCCAGTCAACAGCTGTGAGATAATAAATATTATGCAGCTCAAATACATATTTGAAATCTTACGACTTGTTGTCCAAGTCGAAACTTTCCGTTTTGATTCCCAGATTTGATTTATAAAACGGCCAGCGATTAAGCTTTGATCCGGCCAGACTTTTGGCTAAGTTTTATAAGCTTAAAGTTGGTTGGGGCTAAATAGCCTTGGGAAGAAGTGGGTGCTAGACTTTCCATCTCAAGGGAAACAACAAAACTTTGCCAGGCGCGAGAAAGTTGAACTTTTTCTTTGCGTTTTGCATTTTGAACGCAGCGGATAATTATTTTTCTTGCCACTGACGTTTAAGAATTTGTCTAGCTTAGAAAGAAAAAGTTAAATGGGACAACGAAAATAGATTTTTCAATAATGGTTTTTACTTTTTTATCGTTATAAAAAAACTGATATTAATATAGCCATATGAACTATTTCAAAGAATATTTTTAAATTAAAAACAAATATTTTAATTAACCACTTTTTTAATTTTGTTAAGCATCATAAAAGCGAATAGCTATAACTAAAAGGTAAAGTTGAAAACAAAGGAAGGAAATTATAAATAAGAGTTTAATAGGCTGTGATTATCTACAAGAAATTTATAGATAGAAAGCATAATAAACTTAATGTATTCAGCTGAAAGTCAAACAGCCACTATGCCTTAAAGATCCCATTCTCTTCCGAATGTATTTGGGTCAGCTTCACATAACTGAAGTTGATCTTTATTTTCTTTGCAGAAAACTACAAGATTTTCCATCCCCGAATGTCCGGCAAATTGTGGAAAATCTAGCAATTTGTTAGCTTACATGGCCAAGGCAACATGGGAACAACCGAGGAGGCTTGACCATAAGCCGCTCCATTTGCATAATTATTCATTGCGCAGCATTATGAGCATAAATAAAACGATGCTCCACTGCACACACAGGCCCAGAAGAAGAAACAGAGACCATGTGAGGATAATGCCTTGTACGGGTATTATAAACTCTTGTAAGCGCCTCAGTGAATGCAACGCTTTTTGTATCTTATTTATCGCTGAGCATTTTTTATGGCCAAGCCGCAAGTTGCTGCGACTATTTATGGCCCACATTATTGCCTGATGCACTTGCAATCCGCTTTGCAGTTTACTTCAACGGAATACCAATTGAAATAATAATCGAATGGAAGATGCAATCGGGGAAATAGAATGAGCTGCATAAAGATAAATATCCAATAAACTCGTGCAAATTACACAACCTCCGCATAAAATGTGGGATAACCACAAACGTCGGCTTTGAGAGCATGTCGCTGCTGGAAATTAAACGCAAAGTTCGACAAAGCTCCAACTATTCTCATAAAACTGACATGTGCCGGAATCTCTGTGTTCGCGTGGGAGTTTGAGATTGTGTGCTGGGGACAACCTTAACACCGAAATACTCAATTAAATAAAGTTCAGCTCGAAATTGCATTACATTTATGAACGTGAGTGCGGCGCGTCCTGGCAGCAATGTCATTGCATTTCTCGCAAAAGCCGCATGTAGCGGAAAGTTTTTCCACAAAAATGTGCGTATATAAAATCGTAGGAGAGGCAGTTAGATGTGTCTTTTATATCGTATTCAACAGGGATAGTAATAGGGCTTACGAAGCAAAATTAAATGGTTTATGTGTAGGGAGTGTGTTTTTAAGGCCGATGGATATTTATATATTCCGTTTTTATGCCCTGCTGTTGTAAACTTAATTTAAAAGGAATTATATCAGAATAATGAATAAGCTTTAACATTTTAAACATGTGATTATCAAAGGACAACTATAAACTGATAGTAACATATCAATCAGAGAAAGGGAAGAAAATGTTGTCCCCTGTAAAAATAATTACAAAAAATATTAGTGATTATTTTTATCTAAATATTTTAAATGTTAATATTTATTAAAAAAGGATATTCATTTCAAAACCTTTATTAGTTTAATATTTGCCTGCTCTGATAGATGCACGATGATTATTTTATGTGACATCAAATTTTATGAACACAAATTTAATTAACAATGATGCGGCCTAATTGAAATAATTGCATTTACGGCTTAAAGCCACTTTGAACTCGTTTTGCATGGGTGAAGTGTGTAGCGGTAACTATTGACAACCTGCAGCCAAAGCAATTAATTTAATTCACAAATTTTGGCCTTTGCATATCCCATGTAAATATATGCATATTCGATATATATTTACAGTAACGTTTCGCAGTTAATATACAGCCAATTGTTGGCAGTTTGCGGTTTTGCACAAATGCCGGGCTCTCGTTGGATTATTGTTCCGTGGCCTTTGCCACTACTTAGCCAAATTGCCCACCAGGAGTCCTGTTCATGGCAGGACACATTAAAATTTTATGCAAATAATTTATGTCCTGTTGGGTGAATGTGTGAAGACTGGGTACATGATCCGCGTACTCAGTTTATTTAAATTGATGCATGACTTTATTAAGGGAATTATAATCTGAATGATACAAATTGACGGGTTATTACTCATTCGCCGAAGCGACCATTCATTTCACAGCTTACGTTTTATGGGATTCCTGGACTTTCGATTTGAACCTAAAAACAATATTGTACAGGATTAGTTGGAGCTCTCTGGGCCGTTTTGTCCTTTTATTATTTCCCTTATTTTCCAAAAGACCGGCTATAAATACATGTACGCACACATCCCGGCATCCTGTGCTTCCGTATTCCGGCCTTTTATGACAGCCCAAAGTGCCTACTTATAAAATCAAAATCATAAAAAATAATGTTAATTTCAATATTGTCTCATTAAATGTGTATAAAACTCCAGCCGGTGAGCATGTGTGTGATGAAAGAAATTTCGTGATGGCCGGATGGAAGGAAGCGGGGAATTTGTTCATTTAACCTGCCTCAATGCGATGGCCCCAATGAACAGTGGAACTACGTGTGTTAAAAGGGAGACAATAATATAATAAGAAAAAGGATTATTTAAAAATAATTCCATTTATTAGGTAAGTCTTATCCTAATTTATCCAAATATCTAAGAGTATATTTTAAGTATCCAAAGTAGGTTACATTTAGTTGAATTGGGTGTAATTGTAAATCAGTTGTTTTTTAGCATTTTATTTTAAGCCCATGTTTTTTTTAATCTTAGTTTCTATTTAAATGAATTGCACTTTAAAAGTAAAAATCATGATCTTAAATTCAGTAGTGAGGTTAAAGCTAAAATATAAATATAATTTCTTTTGACTTACATAATATTTTTAGATTTGGCCCAAGGTGCTGAATTTTTCTTTTTGCGGAGTGTGGGTGCGTGAAATTTAAATAAAACGTGCGATTGTCGAGCAGCTGTTGCCGTTTTCCCGCCGTGCTGAGGTCTTTCACCGGAGTGACGGGGCGAAGGACGACAGACGACGGAAGGATCGGCAGGACTGACAGTTGAGAGTCACGCACCCACACACGCAGAGAGTTACGCATATATATATATATATATATACATATTTATATGTATAAACCTACGCCGGATGCTGGCACACACACACATGCGAAAAGCGGTCGGGAAATGTGACAGGATGTCATTTTGCAACGCATCCGAAACATAAACACACGCTTTTCTTTTGTACTCCCCTACATACATATGTGAAAATTATGCTGCTAAAAGGCGGCAAATGTTTGCATTAGTGTCGCTTTCTCTCTACACTTTTCCCTCATTCGAGGGTAAGTTTTCGGAAAACAAGCGAAACTAGAAAATTTGCATAAGCGCCGCTCGTTGGCTGGTTCCATTATTACGGGTTTGCCTGTGTGTTTGCGCTTAGTTATTTAAAATACACGTAATATTCATAATATGACGCAAATGCGTGTCATATTTGGAAAACTGAAAATTGTGTTTAACGCCTGGGAAACTTGTTGATTTCGGTTTTATGGTTACTTTGGCAGTTGCCCTTTATATACGTGTTTTTCAAATGTGAGATTCCCACAATTATAGTTATTAATTCATTAATGTAAGGCCATTAATTTGATATTTAATAAAACATTTTGAAACCATTTATTTCCCATCAATTATTAAAGTTGTGAAATAAAATTTGGAAAACTGAGATTGTGCTTGTTGATTTCGGTTTTATGATTACTTTACCTTCAGATAAGCAAACGTATTTTGCAAATGTGATATTCCCACAATTATAGTTATAAATTCATTAATGTAAGGCCATTAATTTGATATTTAATAAAACATTTTGTAACCATTTATTTCCCATTAATTATTAAAGTTGTAAATACATATTTTATACACATTACTGGCCTATATTCATCCATAGTTTTCTCAGCTTGCAAACTACCAGCAAAATTAGGTAATTTTCAATGGATTATGTTAAGCCTGTTTAAAAACGCTTTTGTGTCTTTTAAATACATTCATTTTCTCCACATGGTTTTGGCCTCCAGCTAAACAAAGTAAGCAAATGAAAATACGTATATTTATAATTAATTTCTAATTTTATTGGATTTTGTCTCCCTGGGGTTTTTCATGTACAAAAGAAATAACAAATAACAAAAAGAATCAATTTTATTATTACCTATTTTGGCTTTTTACCATTTGACCACATATTCAAATATACACACAATTAATTTAAATTGTTTTGGTTTGTCTGAATAACGGTGCCTTGTTTGATTGCAATTGGCAAGAGTAATAACGGCGAATTAGCA